GTTCCTCAAGGGAAACTAAAATGAACCCTAGCAACTGGCTGAAATAAAGTTGATTTTTTTTTTTTCCCAAGTAATGATTTTTGTTTAATGGTTTTTCTGAGTGTTAGAACTCAAATTTTGACCAAATGTGCAGTGAACATCGTGGTAGTTGTTCTGGTGTTGTAATGCTGTTTTACAGTGGAAATGTACAGTAATCCTAATGATGTGTATTCGCAGGAATCCATTCACATTCCTGATCCTGTGATCTCTATGGCCATAAGAGCCTCCAACAAGGTAGACTCACACGCTCGTTCTCTCACAGTGGCCCTTCAGACACAGACTAATGCAGCGTCTTCTGTCCTCCAGAACGACACAGACAAGTTCTCCAAGGGAATCAACCGCTTCACCAGAGAAGATCCCACGTTTAGAGTCCACTTTGACACGGAGAGTAAAGAGACCATCATCTCGGGCATGGGAGAGCTGCATCTGGAGATCTACTCGCAGGTACTGAGCGCATGCATCTGTGTGTCTGTGTAACCACACACGCATCGCATGATAATCTGGAGATAATCTGTGCGTTACAGAGGATGGAGAGGGAATATAACTGTCCGTGTGTGATGGGCAAACCCAAAGTGGCCTTCAGAGAGACGGTGACCAGCGCTGTGCCGTAAGTCCTGCATTTACACACACGGGGAAAACACTTTCATAGCTGCTGGTCGGATAAAGATCTCATCCTAAACTAAAACCAGAAACATTTGCATTGTTTGAAGTAAGCACTAAAGGTCCACTGAAGTGCCTTGAAAGTGCAGCATTATCATATGTGCTGAAGACAGGGCGGGACAAATGGAGCAGCTCCGCCCCTTTTTTTTAAAAAAATAGCCAGTTGCGTTTCGTTTGTATCTCAGCTTGGCCAGAGCCGTCGGTTGAGCTCGGCAAACCAGACTTCATACACCCCAGTGGAAAGCGCACGGTTTGAATCGTTCCCTATCCTCTATATAGTGCACTACGTGTCGTTCAGCATACAGAAAACACTAACAAGTGAGCGATTTCAGCCACAGCTTCATAGTGTCGGGGGCGGGACGCTTCGGATTCTAGACAGCTTCTGATTGGACAGAAGATCTGAAGGGCAGTGCGATGTCATCAAAATCCTTGATCTGTATTGGCAGTAGACTGAAGCTGCGTCCCAAATGACGCACTAGACACTATGCCCTTAAACACTGTGTACTTGTGCACTATGTACTCAACCGTATAGCATATGAATTTTACAGTGATTTTGTCATTCATAATCAGAATCTGACAGCCCCTCCTCCTCGCGTAATTAAAGCTGCCACAGTTGAGTGCATGAAGCGTTATTTCGGTTAATCAAGTGCATCATCCGGGTTTTTAGTGTGCTTTTTCTTTTTGTAATTTTCAGTGTGAACACACTAATCACTATTTATTAGCGGTGTAACGGCACACAAACATGACGGTTCGATACGTACCTCGGTTTTGATGTCACGGTACAGCCGGGGGAAAACTAAACATAATTGTTGTTTTTTTTATTAAACAGTGGTTTACTGAAAAATCGCTCTTTCTTTAATTAAATTCAGTTATAATTAATATTTTCTTAGGGATAAAAATCTACGCTCTAAACTATAGGGAGCCCTTTTACATTAGGCTACTATAAGATTACAGTTAACAACAGAGCCCAAATTTAATTTAATTACTATTTATTTTTAAATATAACAAGCAACACTCAACTTTAAAACAGTGCATGCATGCATGTAAATTGCACATAATGCAGTTTTTAAATGAACTTCTAAATTAATTATTAAAAATTCTGTTTGTTGTTGAAATATATTCATTTACACGGTGCCTCTCATAACTCGTTTCATAACAGATTTATTTAAACGCATTCAATAATAAGGCATCACTAACAGGTAAAGTAAAATATAATAGTCTAATATTTCACGAAATGCTCTTCTCTAGACTTCATTTATAGCGCACTTAACGAGCTGTGGACACTGATGACTGCCTGAGGGAAATTAAATGCAATACGCTGCTTCACTGACGTCTCGCCGCGGTTGAAACACTGATTGAGCGATTACATGAGGCATGAGATGTTCATTCATGTTTACTTCGCGTTAAAACTACTAGAGGACGAGATGATCGTGCTGCCGTTTGAACCGAGGCGTTTATACAGCGATCTGTCGCGCCAACACCTCATTTATTGCTTGAATTTCCTGAGAAACCACATCATTTGAAAGATGAGACTTTGTTTCTTATCAAAAGTAACAAAATAACTGTAGTTTGCAATGAAGTTCCGCTCGTGCAGTGGTTAAAACAACGCTGTATTTGTTCGGTACACACGCGCACCGAAGCGAAACACCTGTGTACAGTTGCACCGCTACTATTTATACTACTAAACAACTTAGAACAGGGCACAAGTACACACCGTGTAAGTTTTGAATTCTTATATCTAATATCCATTTATTCTAAATGCTAATTGTGTCATTGTTTTGGAGCACACTAACTTATAGATAACCTTGAGAATAACATATTCATACTAACAGCCAAAAAACTTCCATTTTAATTTCAGGGGGACTTTTACTGAAATAAAATTATTTAAAAAAAAATTATTATTACAGCTAGTTGCCAAGTCAACATTTCTCATTTTCATTTAGTTTATTCTGATGTACTAAAATACCTAAAACTGAGAAGACATAAAAAAAATACTAAAACTAAATAGAAATATAATTTAGTTTATATTTAACTAAATTCAAAATATTAACAAAAACTATATCTCAATGATACTAAAATGACCATCGATTTGATTGGGTGAGCAGTGATTTTAATAGAGGCAGAATCTGTGAGAAGCGTGGGTTTGTCTGTGATGAACACACACGCTGCAGCCGCTGTATCGGTCGGTCTTTATTGGTCTGGATGGCCGGCACACATTCAGCACAGGGTTAGTTGGGTGGTTTGGTGGCGTGAGGGCATCTGGGCTGCCACTCGGTCTGCAGGACCCTGACGCCTCTGTCTGGAGACCAGGACGCCAGCAGCTTCCACTGAACGATCTCCTACAGAACACACACACACACCGTCAACACACACACACATCAGTGTCCACAGACAATGAGTAGTGTTCTGTGTTACCTGCGAGGGGAGGTCATGAAGAAGAACCACAAACTCCAACATCAGCTGCTCCTCGCTCGACTCCTGAAACACACCAGAGTGCTCTTCAGCCTCTCGTTTATGATTCATAACCACACGACAGTAATGTAGATCACTTACAATCACATAATCATGCTTCGCCTGCTCGTATGAGTACTGCTTTCCACATGTTAGAATAACAGTAAAGCGATGAAATGACGCATGATGTAGTGATGAAAACACTCTTCTCTCTGAGCTTCTGTTCATGCTGAACATGCATCAAACACCTTCATCAGGTGCATCATGGGATGCTTTTAGACACTAGTGAAGGAGGAACGTGATGATGAGCACTTCGTGACAGAAAACTAAAAGTTAAGTTACTTGAAAAAACGTGTGTGTGAATATATTTAGTTTTGATGGTTGCCAAAGCAACATTTCTCATTTTCGTTTAATTTAACTTAAACCAAAAAAAAATTAGCGATGCACCCAAACTAAATTTCTCCACCGAAAGCGGATTATTCAGAATGATATCTGCCGATATTGATAGTCTGGTTTTCTTAAGGAAACAAAATCTCTCCCAACTAATGCTGTGAACTACACAGGGATCCCTCTCATTTGGTGCATTACTATAACATTAGACGTTATAATTAACAACAAAGCCCAAACTATTATATTCAACCGCTGTTTATTTTTAGACGTAGTTATCACACTCAAATAAAAATGTTAGTATGCAACTTAATTTGACATGAAGTTTTCATAAAAAAATTGATTTATTCAAACATATGTATAATTAACAGTAAATAAGCTCCCTCTAGTGTTTTATAGCTAACTAAAGTGACGTTAAGTAAAATGGTTTTATTTGACGTCATTCTTTCGGTTGAAACACAGATTCCTCAATTACACAAGACGTTAAGTTGTTCTGTGTCTTTCAACACCTTCTGCTGTTCTGACATGTTTATTTTGTGCTATAACTTGTATTAAAGACTCTTGCTTGAACTGAAGCTGCTATAGTGATCTGACACGCTACATTTAAGAGCATCAAAACGGCATTTATTTGAATTTTGCGATAAAATGGACAGGATTTGTGAGCTGAAGCTTTGTTTTTTTCTTTGTAAAAATGGAAAAAGCTCTTTGCGATTATTGGATGGGAGGTGGCTACAAATAATGTATGATCTGGCAACCCCGACTCGAACTACAGGTGATTCATAGCGTCAAACCAGTTAACGCTATTTATTTAAAAATTAGATTGCGTTAAAATATTATTTTCGCATTAACTTCGACAGCCCTAAATTCTACACGAGAGATTTTGTTACCCCTTTACAATTTGTTAACTTTATTTAATGCATTAACTAACATTAATGAGAAATACATTTGTTACAGTATTTATTAATCTTTGTTAATAAAAATACAACTGTTCATTGTTAATCCATGTTAGCTCAAGACCATTAAATAACATTAATACTTATTATTAAACTTTTCATTTTAATGTATTTTTCATTGTTAGTTTATGTAAACAAATGTAGTTAACTAATGTTAACAATCAGAACCTTATTTATAAAGTGTTACCGATATTTTCCTCCGAAATGAGTTGCAGTCCGACACGTTTTCCGCCGTTTTGATTGACAGTGATTTATATAGGCATTTAAAAAACTAATAAAAATGACAGAAATATGCAACAAAATAACTGAAACTTTACCTAAAGTTACTAATTCTAAATATAGCATCTCAAAAATACTAAAATAATAATGCTGCTTCCTCACCAGCCCCTAAAAAACCTAAGTTAACAAATGTGTGTGTAGACACAATTAGAGCTGTCAAATTTTTTTTTGAATTTAGAATATTCGTCGAATTAAAAAAAATGTTGCATTCGAATTGAAGGTCTGCGTCAGCCGTCAGGCAGCCGTATCAACGGCGCACGAGATGCGATGACGATGTGTGTGTCTGCTACGGGATGGGCTGCTACGTTGTTCATTCATATACTGCAGAAAACGAGAGCATCAGTGTGGAGATGTTGTTTACGTCAAAACTGAAACCAAGCCGTTCACACAGAACGCATATTTATCACATTTTCTAGAGGGACATCTATCAGCGTTGCACTCGCGTCTCGCACAAGAGAGCGGCATGTTTAGAAAGACATGTAAAATTAATGCAAGTTCAACTTTTAAAAAACAAAGACGTTATGGCGGTTTTGCACTGACCTGCTGGGTGACGCTGGCCATCTGAACCATGTTGAACTCTGTGTTCTCACTGGACTCTCTGAGCATGATGAAGGACGCGGCCACACGAGCCAAACGCCAGAACGGCTGCATCTCCTCGCTCATGTTACCGTAGCTGTCTGCAAGCAGGGCAGAGAGAGAGGCTGTTGCAGTGCATTGTGGGACTGTCGTGTCAGATGTAGGTTAGTTTAGGTGTTGGTCACACCTGGTATGTCGCGCGCAGAGACGGCGCTAGTTAACTAATGTTAACAATCAGAACCTTATTTATAAAGTGTTACCGATATTTTCCTCCGAAATGAGTTGCAGTCCGACACGTTTTCCGCCGTTTTGATTGACAGTGATTTATATAGGCATTTAAAAAACTAATAAAAATGACAGAAATATGCAACAAAATAACTGAAACTTTACCTAAAGTTAAAGGGGGGGTGTTTGCACTGACCTGCTGGGTGACGCTGGCCATCTGAACCATGTTGAACTCTGTGTTCTCACTGGACTCTCTGAGCATGATGAAGGACGCGGCCACACGAGCCAAACGCCAGAACGGCTGCATCTCCTCGCTCATGTTACCGTAGCTGTCTGCAAGCAGGGCAGAGAGAGAGGCTGTTGCAGTGCATTGTGGGACTGTCGTGTCAGATGTAGGTTAGTTTAGGTGTTGGTCACACCTGGTATGTCGCGCGCAGAGACGGCGCTGTCAGGCGGGATGTGTTTCTGGTAGAAAGCCTCCTCCTCCTGCACGGTGCGGTTGATCTGCTGCAGAGCCTCACAGCGCAGCTTCACGTCAGGAGCACTGTGCCGCTCCGTCCGAGGGAACAACACGTCCGCTGAGCACCGCAGCGCTGGGCCCTGACACACAACAACCACCACTCGACATATTACTGACCGAAAGCTCGGCGCCGGAAGATTTATAATGTTACAGTAGATTTCCATTTTGAAATAAATGCTGTTCTTCTGAACTTTCTATTCATCAGTGAATCCTGAAAAATAAAATGCATCACAGTTTCCACAAAAATATTGTGCAGCACGACTGTTTTCAACATTGATAATAATCAGAAATGTTTCTCGAGCAGCAGATCAGCATATTATACTGATTTCTGAAGATCATGTGACACTGAAGACTGCAGTAATGATGCTGAAAATACAGCTGCGCATCACAGAAATACATTACAGTTTAACAGAGATTCACATAGAAAGCAGCTGTTTTACATTGTAATAATATATCACAATATTACTGACTTATCAAAAAATATAAATACTGGTGAGCAGAAGAGACTGCTTTCAAAAATATTAAAATAATCTTACCGACCCTAAACTTTAGTGTACCAAGAGAGCTAAATGACCCTACAGCGGTTCTCTATCAGCTCGAAAAGATGCACATCTGAAGGTGCATAAGGTCAAATTAAAGCTCATATTTAGGGATGTAAATATGCATAATCGGACAATAAACATTTAATGCATTGACATTAAGGAATGTAATAATATAGTCAAGTCATTTAATGTAATAGAATTAAATAATAGCGCCTAGTGAGTAAGACGCACACTCTTTCTGGCATTCATATTTCTGAGCAAAGTAGGTTCATTATTGTTTTCTTCTCTAAATGCTACATATCAAATATATATTTTGGAATATTTGGAGAATATTCACCTTCTGAATTCACCTACTGCGATTAAAATATTTGAGGCTCTTCAAGTTGCTCAAAAGGACTGAAACAAGCCATTTCAAATCATAAAGTTGCACTACAAATAATCCTTATCCGTTAGTTTGACTGAATGAGTTTGACATTTTCTATCATGCTCTATTTTTTTCCGTCAGGAAATTAATGTAACACTGTATCACAAGAATATCTGTATTTTCAGGAATGTTTCTAAAGCTGGGAAAAGTACATTGTTGAAATGATGAGAAGCACTTAGTTAATGACGGAATATTTTGGATTAATGCAACACGTATGTTACAAAACAGACTTGCATAAATTACTACCGTAATATTTAACGCGCCTGTAGTATTGCTGAAAGACTCATCTGAGCTTTTATTGATGGTCTGCTGATAGTAATTAGCTCATATGTTTAGGTTTCCTTTGAAGAGTGAGGAGAATAATATCAGTTCATGTACAGAGCAAACGTTTAAACCGATTTATTGATAGTATGGCAAGCCATTTCAACATTTAATCCTTAAAACATATTAGTATTTATTTTAATGCTACTAGTACTTTTTTAGCTACTAGTTTCTATTCCATTAAGTACTAGTACTTATTAATTAGCTACTACTACTTATTCTTTAGCTACTAGTAACTTTTTAAAGATACTAGTACTTATTTCAGTAAACATTTCCAGTTTTTGTCATTGACTTCAATGGGGATCTGCCATTCAGATGTCAACTATTCACTTCTGACTAGTACTGTATGTATTCCAATAGTGACTGGTATCTTTAAATATTACTAGCAAGTATCATTAGATACTAGTATGTATTTATTAAATGCTATTACTTTTCAATTGATATTAGTGCCTATTTAATATATAATAGTCGTTATTCATTAAGACACTGGTGCTTAATTATTATACACTAGTATCTTTTGTAATTGTTACTAGTAACAAATCATATTATAATAGTCAGAACTGCTATTTTACTTGTCTTATGTTATGACTAGTCATTTATATTATTAGGGAGGCACGATATTGGATTTTTGCAGATATGCTGATATTTTTTTACTAATTTTGGCCAATAGCCGATGCCGATAGATTTCCTCTTGTTTGGAAACAACACCAAGTCTCTCCTGTACAGAGATTATAACAAATTATTTTTCTTTTTGGTTAGTTTTTAACAAAAACTTACTTTTGAGAATTAAATAAACAATGAAGTTATTTTATAATGACAATACATTGAAAGCTTTGAAACTAACTATAAAGCAACTATAAATCAATGCTTAACATTTTATTTGAATAATTAACGTTTGTAGATGGTCTAAAGCAAAAGAGTTGTACACATTCTGAAAATCTTTTAGAGCTCCTTGTATTTAAGTTTTCATAATCGGTTTGAAAAAAAAAACATATTACACATTAATTAATAAATAATTGCTGACGTGATCTGATCGCTGTCACACCCTGAGCACATGTGAGTTATTCATCTTATCGGCAAGGCATATCGACATACTTTTTCATATCGGGCCAATGCCGATATTTGCATTTTAAGCCATTATCGGCCAATCCTGATAACGTTCTGATAATATCGTGCATCCCTAATATATATATGCTAGTCACTATTGTTATACATACTAGTCAGGACTGAATATTTGATATCTGAAACAGAAGTCAATGGAAACATGTATGGTAACACTTTAGTTTAAGGTTCAATTCTCACTATTAACTAGTTGCTTGTTAGCATGCATATTACTAGCATATTGGCTGTTTATCAGTACTTATAAAGCACATATTAATGTCTTATTCTGCATGATCTCTTAATCCTAAACACCATATCTAAACTTAACAACTACCTTACTAACTATTAATAAGCAGCACATAAGGAGTTTACAGAGGCAAATATCGTAGTTAATAGTTCGTTAATAGTAAGAACTGGTCCCCAAACTAAAGCATGACCAAAATTGGAAATGTGTTACCAGTAACAGCAGAATAGTTACTAGTCACTACTGAAATAAGTACTAGTATCTTTTTAATAGGTACTAGTATCCAATTAATAACTACTAGTATTAATAATAAATACCAGTATCTAATGAATAAGTAGTAGTAGCTTTTAAAAAAGTACTAGTACCTAAATAATAAGCACAAGTACCTTAATAATAAGCACTAGTAGCTAATGAACAAGTACTAGTACATAATAGAATAGATACTAGTAGCTGAAAAATGAGTACTGATATAGATACTAGTTAGTTTTAAGGATTAAATGCTAAAATGGCTTGCCATGAATGCTGTTTAAGCATGTATTTAGTATCAGTACTGGGTGCTCAATAAACCAGAGCCCTGCAGTGGTAACTGGTCAGCTGGTTAGGCAGGAGTGAGTCAGTGGTCAGTGGTTTCAGAGCAGGTTAGTAATGGATGAGAGCAGAAGTGAAGCGTACCGCACTGCCACTGGCCCAGTCCGTCACTGAGAAATCCAGCTTGTACTTCCTGCCTCCTGCTTCCACATCCTGTCAACACAAGGGTTAGCTGTTAGCAAACACTGTGATCCAAGTACACACTTCACAGGTCCGGTCTTGCCTCAGATGAGGTGTCTCAGAGTCATGAGACTGAATGAGCTGAATGAGTGCCTCACCTCCGCACTGGCCTTGTGCACCTGCTGCAGTCCGAACACCCTGAAGGGCGAGCCGTGGCGTGTGTTCAGGTAGTGCAGGGCCACCTGAGCCGCCCGCCGCGCCGGGTAGTGTGTGGGCTCCAGATCTCCAGTGCTGGCCATGTCCTCCGCCGTCTGAGAGAGTCAGAGCAGAAACAAACACCTGAGAGAGTGTGTGGGGCGCGGCGCTGGACTCTGACCCTTTATCACCGACTGTTGCGTAACAAACCGTGTAAAGAACATGTGATCACTGTCAGAATGAAGGAGGCGATGAAGAAATGTTCAGCTGAACAAACAAAAGATGAAGAAATGTAGGGATCTTCAACAGTTACTGCCACAGTCTCTGAGATGAGAGGCTTTCACTTCCTGTTTTGTGCAATAGCCCCGCCCCCTCTTAAAGAGACACTGCAGCTAGATTAAAACCGCTGACTGCTGAAACACTACACAGTTTGTGATGCATTTAGGAATGGATTACAAAGCTAAAAATGACTCATATCTGTAGTTACTGAAGGTCAACCAGAGGAACCGTCATTGCAACCAAACTGATTTGCCACATTCATAATGTTTAATGCAAGAAGTAAAATACTGTACAATCTACACAATCTATTTAAACCGAACCAAGGCTTTTTTCATCTTTATCTATTGGTCTGTCTGTCTGTTTATCTATCTATCAATACATAATACATTTTTAATTAATTATTAAACTGTTATTTTTAAATATATCTTCACTGAAACGCATTAAAGCGATAGTTCACCCAAAAATCACAGTTCTCTCATCATTTTCTCTCCCTCATGTTGTTCCAAACCTGTGTGAGTTTCTTTCTTCTGTTGAACACAAAAGAAGATATTTTGAAGAATGTTGGTTCCAAACAGTCGATGAACCCCATTGACTTCCATAGTATTTATTTTCTTTTTTTTCCAAACTATGGAAGTCAGTGGCTAACAATAACTGTTTGGTTACCAACATTCTTCAAATTATATTTTGGGTGAACTATCCCTTTAAATCCTGTAAAATCCCATGCAGTGATTTCTGTGAACATTTTTGAGTGATGATGGAAATGCAGTGTGTCTGTGTGCACTGTATGTATATATATATATATATATATATATATATATATATATATATATATATATATATATATATATATATATGTATGTATGTATATATATCTTACCAACCAAAGACTATTGAATCGATAGTGAATATTTGATGTGTATAGTCCAGCACTAATTGTTATGCTGCAGGTTTGACTTCACTCATAAGAAGCAGTCTGGAGGCTCGGGTCAGTACGGTAAAGTCATTGGTGTCCTGGAGCCGCTGGACCCCGAGATTTACACAAAGCTGGAGTTCAGCGACGAGACCGTCGGCACCAACATCCCCAAACAGTTCGTGCCCGCTGTGGAGAAGGTGAGCCGCCCGCATCTCACGAAGAACCATTCAACATCCGCACTAGCTCTCATAATCAGGAGATCTCAGGACTTCAGATCTGGAGAAATGTAGCACTGCGTCAGTGTCTCAGCAATGGATGCTCTGCAGTGAATGGGTGCCGTCAGAATATATAAATATTCTGATAAAAACATCACAATAATCCACAGCACTCCAGTCCATCAGTGAACATCTGGAGAAGACCAAAGCTGAAACACATCCAGCATTAAGACGTTTTTAGTCCATAATCCATAATAACTCTTCCTCCAGTGAAAAAGTGCATCTGCTGTTGTCTCTCACATCAAAATCCAGCCACATATTTGTTTAGAGCTGTTTAAACGCTGCTTGATCTGTGCAGATTTCTCTCCTGATTCACACCAGAACACTGACTCACTGGAGGAAGAGTTATTATGGATTATGGACTAAAAACATCTCAATGCTGGATGTGTTTCAGCTTTGGTCTTCTCCAGATGTTCACTGATGGACTGGAGTGCTGTGGATTATTGTGATGTTTTTATCAGAATATTTATATATTCTGACGGCACCCATTCACTGCAGAGCATCCATTGCTGAGACACTGATGCGATGCTACATTTCTCCAGATCTGATGAAGAAACACACTCATTCTAATCTTGGATGGCCTGAGGGTATAGTCCTTCAAAACTAAAATACAGAAATTATGACTTTCAAAATGTTTCTGTCTCTCAGCCTCATTCCAAACTGGTTTCTTCTGTGGAGCGCAGAAGATCGGGCTTGATCATTTCTGGCTGATCTATGGCTTCAGGTTGAGTGTTTCTATCACTGGTGAAGTGTGTGTGGTGTTCTGTCCTCAGGGTTTCAGGGAAGCGTGTGAGAAGGGTCCTCTGACGGGACACAAGATATCTGGAGTGCGTTTCGTCCTGGTGGACGGCGCTCATCACATGGTGGACTCTAACGAGATCTCCTTCATCCGGGCTGGAGAGGGCGCTGTAAAACAGGGTATGATGAGCAGATCATTCATTCTCATTCTCACTGACGTCCGATCAGAGCTTCACGTGAGTGTCCCGTGTCTTCAGCCATTGAGAAGTCCAGCATGGTGATTCTGGAGCCGGTGATGTCTGTGGAGATCGTGGCCCCTAATGAGTTCCAGGGGGGCGTTATTGCAGGGGTCAACCGTCGTCACGGGGTCATCACGGGACAGGACGGGGCAGAGGGCTATTTCACTCTCTACGCTGATGTGAGTCACTTCAATCACACTGACTGATCAGACAGACACGGATCACAAACGGCTCCGTCTCACCTCTCAAGTCTGCATCAGCCCAAAATCAAAGATACAAATGATATATTTATAAAACGGATAGTTCCGATCCTTGATTCTGATTGGCTGAGCCGCGTTCGAAGCTGTTGTAAATGACTCTACAAAGTAACATACACCTTTGTTTATGTTTGTGTGTTGCAACCACAACTGTTTGTGAGGAGCTACATTGACCTGATTCAAACATCGAACAAACAGATGCAAAGACTAGATCCATGGAAACGATTCATTTTTTATCTTTCCAGCTTATTGTTTTAAACACACATACGAGCTGGCGTGAACTCGAGTGTGCGAAGCGATGTCGGCAATCTCCATTTATCAGCTTGTTTAGCTGTGCAAAAACAGTTAATCAATAAACTAGTATTTGTTTTTAAATTATTTGAAATGTATTAACATACTAATAAACCCTCATTTGTAGCGCAGTTGTTTTGACTTGCTTTGTCAGACGTGAACTGAAGTCTCACACAGACACAAGTCTTTTTTTTTGCAAGAAAACTGAATGTAAAACCATAATACATATAGAATACATTGAAATAAATTAGGTTAATATTATAAGAGGGTTACCAACGGGTATGTTTAGGGGTTGGTGAGGACAATAATTAAATGTATGCAATTAAACAACTCAATAATTACTTAAAAATAATCATGCAAATTAAGAATTTTAAAGCAAGTGCTATAAAAGAGTATAAACTGTTAATACATCCATACATACAAAAACTATAGGGTCCTGAAACTGCAGCCTCCTACTCATCTCCAGTGCCAAAATATCTCCATTTCACTGACCGTAAAGCAAAACATTATGTATAATATTTTAAATGATGAAATATTCATACTAATAGTATTATTATTATTGTTTTGTTTACAGTTAGAGAATATTGCAAATAGCATAAATTAATGAATAAATAAAACCCTCAACACCAAAACATCCAGATGCATTGTACAGTAGTAATGTGAAAAGTGATTTTGTGAGTGTGTGAGAGTGAGTGAGTGAGTGTGTGTGTGTGTGTGAGAGAGAGAGAGTGTGTGTGAGAGAGAGAGTGAGTGTGAGTGAGTGAGTGAGTGAGTGTGTGTGAGAGTGAGTGAGTGAGTGAGTGAGTGTGTGTGAGAGTGAGTGAGTGAGTGAGTGAGTGTGTGTGAGAGTGAGTGAGTGAGTGAGTGAGTGTGTGTGAGAGTGAGTGAGTGAGTGAGTGAGTGTGTGTGAGAGTGAGTGAGTGAGTGAGTGAGTGTGTGTGAGAGTGAGTGAGTGAGTGAGTGAGTGTGTGTGAGAGTGAGTGAGTGAGTGAGTGAGTGTGTGTGAGAGTGAGTGAGTGAGTGAGTGAGTGTGTGTGAGAGTGAGTGAGTGAGTGAGTGAGTGTGTGTGAGAGTGAGTGAGTGAGTGAGTGAGTGTGTGTGAGAGTGAGTGAGTGAGTGAGTGAGTGTGTGTGAGAGTGAGTGAGTGTGTGTGTGAGTGTGTGTGTGAGAGTGAGTGAGTGAGTGTGAGGTGTGTATATATAGTACATATCCAGCATACAGTATAAATGAGTTAACAATGACTTAAAATCAGATCTTTTGTTTATTGAGTTTATTGAGATGAGATCTGCTATTGTGTTCTGTTGTTCAAGTTCTGTGATTATGATCATGTTGGAATGGACAACTAATCTCTGTCGACCTGGTGTTTTCTGGGCTAGATCCCGTTGAACGACATGTTCGGATACTCGACCGAGCTGCGCTCCTGTACGGAGGTAAAATGTGAACGTGAAATCAAAATGCTCTCTCTCATGTGTTCCTGCTCTTATTGTGAACGATTCATCTGTGAATATTATTCTGAGAGAAAACAAAACATCAACTGCCTTCATAATCTCTCTTTAAATTGCAGTAGTTCTTTGTGAAATGAGCGATCAGTTTCTGATGAACTAAACCAGGTCCTGATGGTTGTGACCGGTGTGTGTGTGTGTGTGTGTTCAGGGTAAAGGCGAGTACACCATGGACTACAGCAGATATCAGCCCTGTCTGCCCTCTGTACAAGAAGAGCTCGTCAACAAACACTTGGAGGCCACGGGACAGCTGCCCGCCAAGAAGAGCAAGTGGAAAAACTGATGCACCGCGCACAGTTCAGATCTGTCGAGGACACCGCGGATTTTAAATTCTGCAGAGATCGGCTTTGGTCATGCACTGTAAATGTATTTGTACAGCGAATGTTTGCAAATGTAGTAAAATCATGATCTGTTTAAACCTGTCCCGTGTACTATATTTCACGCCTAACCTGAGCAGAAAACAGCTGAAGAAATCTGCATTGAAGGAGAAACCTGAAGCGTATCTACTGCAGACAGCAGGGGGTTGGCAAGCACACGGATAACCTTAACTTTTGTTCCTAATGCTGAGGTAACTTTCAGCGTGTGCAAGTAATCATCGTCAGCAGCTGACTGTGAACATGAGCTGCTCTGGAGTCAGTTCTCCTCAGAGGTTTTCAACAGGTCTGACAGATTCTCACATTATTATAATAGCTCATTTTGGAATTGTAAAGCACCGTTATAACATAAAGCAATGTTCATTATAAGATGGAGAGTTCCGGTGCTTGATTCTGATTGGCTGAGCCGCGTTCGAAGCTGTTGTAAATTACTCTACAAAGTAACACACACCCTTGTTTACTTCTGTGTGTTGCAACCACAACTGTTTCTGAGGAGCTACATTGTTTGGTGGAAGACAGCCAATGTGCTAGTGATATGCATGCTAATAAGCAACTAGTTAATTGTGAGAATTGGTCCCTAAAATAAAGTGATACCGTTATTTTTTTATCCACCAACCTTTTTCACTTTTGATGTCATTACTAGTGAGAAATTCGTATTGTAGTAATTCAGTGTTTGTTTAGTTACCACCAAAGTGCTCTCTATTTTGCTGTACATCATTATTCTGTGTCAGAAGTCTGTCTGAAATGAGTTTGAGGAACCTTAGTGCTCAAATGCTGTCACTTAGCAACACTTAACCACCCAAAAGAACGTGGTAGCCACTTAGCAACACCCTAGCAACCACCAAAATAATGTGGTAGCCACTTAGCAACACCCTAGCAACCACCACAATAATGTGGTAGCCACTTAGCAACACCCACACCCTAACAACCATCCAAAAGAACATGGTAGCCACTTAGCAACACCCTAACAACGACCCAAAAGAATGTGGTAGCCACTTAGCAACACCCTAACAACGACCCAAAAGAATGTGGTAGCCACTTAGCAACACCCTAACCACGACCCAAAAGAATGGGGTAGCCACTTAGCAACACCCACACCCTAACAACGACCCAAAAGAATGTGGTAGCCACTTAGCAACACCCTAGCAACTACCAAAAGAATGTGGTAGCCAATTAGCAACACCCACACCCTAACAATGACCAAAAGAACGTAGTAGCCACTTAGCAACACCCTAGCAACCACCAAAAGAATGTGTTAGCCAATTAGCAACACCCACACCCTAACAACGACCCAAAAGAATGTGGTAGCCACTTAGCAACACCCACACCCTAACAACGACCCAAAAAACCGTAGTAGCCACTTAGCAACACCCTAGCAACTACCAAAATAATGTGGTAGCCAATTAGCAACAGACACACCCTAACAACGACCCAAAAGAACGTGGTAGCCACTTAGCAACACCCTAGTAACTACCAAAAGAATGTGGTAGCCACTTAGCAACACCCTAACAACCACCAAAAGAACGTGATAGCCACTTAGCAACACCCACACCCTAACAGCGACCCAAAAGAATGTGGTAGCCACTTAGCAACACCCTAACAACCACCCAAAATAATTGGTAACCACTTAGCAACCACTCAAACAGCACACAGTAAACCTCAGCGAACCCAGTCACCCGCTGCTGTGAGTTCTGCTCAAGGAGACGGGTTTATCTTCAGAGAATGTGTAGCAGGCGCTCAGAGTCTGACTTCAGCACAGCACGTTACCTCAGGCTGCGGCGGCGCTGGACCCGCGGCTCCTCTGCACGCCAGCGGAGGCTCCTGAGCCGGACTGAGCTCGACCACCGAGAGAAGCAGCCAGACTGAGCAGAAGGTCTTCATGATCCGCTCCGGAGAAGAGCTCAGTCTCGTGCTGCTGTGTGTACTGCGGAGCGCTGTTGCGCAACACGAGCGCGAGCTGACGCGTCTGAGCCGAGACCAATGCGCGCATAGCATGCCATCTGCGCTGCTGTTCCCTCCTGCTTGTGTCACTGCGCATCTGGCTTCTGTTAGTAACAATGCATTGTGTCGAGTTTATAAACCCAAAGAAGAGTGGATTTTGAGGGAATACCACTGCAACAATCCATCATCTCTACATCTACAGCAGCAGTCTCCTGCTTAGTTCACGCAGATCACAGTTCTTGCGATTTCTGTTAATTGTGTAAACGAATAATTCTGTTTTGAGTTGAATTTTAATATTAGTTTGAATTCAAATTAAAAGGTGGATTCCAGGTCCAAAAAAGACAACATTTGTAACATGTAATATATCCCCAAACAGCTGTCAACGTAAAATATATAAAGTTGTTCTTTTTAAATCACTGCTTGTAAACTGCACTGGCACAATCCTCAGAGGCTCAGAAGTGACGCACACGGAAACGCAGCGGAGAGATCAAAACAAAACAGTCACTAATTAGAAGTCCAAAACGAGGATTTGTAAAGAAGAATGTCGGAGGAGTTTGATATAAGCCAAGAGGAGACTGGTTTTCCTTTGCTAAAGTAAGGAAACTTTGCTTCCTTTGCTCCTGTTAACAAACGTTGGTTTTCACGAGACTCACCGGTGCATGCGCAGCGCTGAACTCATACGTCATGCTCCCGAAACTCCGGTGCATGCGCAGCGCTGAACTCATACGTCATGCTCCCGAAACTGCTTCTGTGTACAACTAGATTAAAGTGATTATTAAGTTTTGAATATGGATTTTTCTTACAAAAATGCATCGATTCACTACAGGAGGCCTTTGTTCACCCCCCGGAGCCGTGTGAGACATTTTTTATTTTTATGGATGGGTGCTTTTTATTTAACTTCTTTTGGACTGATGCATGCAACACCCGCTGAGTGGCATTAAACAGCTTGAAAGATCAAAGACTATTTTTTATTTCACTTCTTTTGGACTGATGCATGCAACACCCGCTGAGTGGCATTAAACAGCTTGAAAGACCAAAGACAATGTTTAATATAACTCCGACTGGATTCGTCTGAAAGAAGAAAGTCATATACACCTAGGATGCCTCGGGGGTGAGTAAAACACAGCCTAATTTAAATTTTTGGGTGAACTAACCCTTTAAACTTTGCGCATCGCATTTATATTCTGGGTTCGTCTGCTCGCCTGTATAAAGCATGCATCATCAATAATGCGTGCACTGAATTTGGCCTTTAAATATCACTGTCTTGCTACATTACTATTAATGCAAACCTCGTAAAAATAACTGGCGGTTAGTGGAGGAAAGCCTAGTTTTGCCCTCCATGTGAACGTTCCTGTAAGAGCGAAGAACGATGAATTACAAGGAAAAAAGTCAGAATTGCAAGACATAAACTCGCAATTCTAAGAAAATGTCAGAATTGAGATATATACTCAAAATTCTGTGGAAAAAGTCATAATTGTAACTAATTCTAAGAAACAAGCTTCAGAATTACTGCTGCTTACTTTAGTAACCTTCACATCAACCGAACACGACGCTCCTCGTAACACCTGAAGGCTTTGTTGGAGTGTGTGTGACGTGTGTGTAATGGAAGTGTGTTTTCAGTGGTGTGTGTGTGTGTGATCATCAGTTCTGTTTCGCAGATCATATTTGCTGCTGGAGCTCTGGCCAATCACTTCTGGCTGATGAATTTGGGTCGTTTTGTGTTTGGGTGAGCAGTGTCTGCTGATTAAAATGCATTTCATGTTTCTCTGGCTTAGATATCACTGTCTTGCTACATTACTATTAATGCAAACCTCATAAAAATAACTGGCGGTTAGTGGAGGAAAGCCTAGTTTTGCCCTCCATGTGAACGTTCCTGTAAGAGCGAAGAACGATGAATTACAAGGAAAAAAGTCAGAATTGCAAGACATAAACTCGCAATTCTAAGAAAATGTCAGAATTGAGATATATATACTCAAAATTCTGTGGAAAAAGTCATAATTGTAACTAATTCTAAGAAACAAGCTTCAGAATTACTGCTGCTTACTTTAGTAACCTTCACATCAACCGAACACGACGCTCCTCGTAACACCTGAAGGCTTTGTTGGAGTGTGTGTGACGTGTGTGTAATGGAAGTGTGTTTTCAGTGGTGTGTGTGTGTGTGATCATCAGTTCTGTTTTGCAGATCATATTTGCTGCTGGAGCTCTGGCCAATCACTTCTGGCTGATGAATTTGGGTCGTTTTGTGTTTGGGTGAGCAGTGTCTGCTGATTAAAATGCATTTCATGTTTCTCTGGCTGTGTGTGAACATGCGTGATCTGTTCAGTATCGGCGGAGAGTCGCTGGCTGTGGCTCAGAACACGTATGCGGTGAACTGGTTCAAAGGAAAGGAGCTCAATCTGGTGTTCGGCCTGCAGCTCAGCATGGCCAGAGTGGTAAGAGATGTTCATTTGTGATGCGAATGCATTCAGATTCACTGTAGAATCACTGCGACCCAGATGAGTCCAAGTGGAGAGTCATTCTTGAGTCCAGCAATGACCACTGATGCACAATGCTGGGAGAAAAGAGAATATTTCTTACTGGCCATAAAACTGCATTTTATTTTCAGAAAATATAGTACAGTTCAAAAGTCGGGGGTTAGAGGGGTGAGATGTTTTAAATTACAATTTATTTGATCAAACATACAGTAAAAATTGTGAAATATTATTATAATGTAAAACAGCTGTTTTCTGTGAATCTCTGTTAAAGTGTAATGTATTTCTGTGATGTGCAGCTGTATTTTCAGCATCATTACTCCAGTCTTCAGCGTCACATGATCTTCAGAAATCAGTATAATATGCTGAGAAACATTTCTGATTATTATCAATGTTGAAAACAGTCGTGCTGCACAATATTTGTGTGGAAACTGTGATGCATTTTATTTTTCAGGATTCACAGATGAACAGAAAGTTCAAAAGAGCAGCATTTATTTGAGAGATAAATCGTTTGTGACATTATAAATGTCTTTACTGGCACTTTTGATCAATTTAATGCATCCTTGATGAATAAAAGTAAAAAAAACAAAAACAAACTGACTTCAAACTTTTGAGCAGTAGTATAAAAAAATCTACACTTCAACTTGGCATTCTTGATTATCTTTTGGTGTTTAATTTTCCATTGTGATGAAAGTTGTGCAGTTCATCACGAGTAATAAACAAAGCTCTGTGTGTAGAGATGATCATCTTCAGTAAGAAGTTTGCTGTGAGCTCTCTGAACATGACTCTGTGAGCTGAATGTGAGGCTCTCTCTGTGTTCAGGGCAGCACGGTCAACATGAACGTCATCGGTTGGGTTTACAGCCGCATTCAGGCTGTGATGGGCTCGGCGGGACACACCACACTCGGGATAACACTCATGATCGGTGAGAGCCCTTACGAACCCTCGCAAATATCAGAGGATTCTCAGATTACTCCAGCAACTAGAAATATCATGAACACCTGATGCATTAAGCATGCATTTCTCTAGTTACGTGCGAGCTAGAAAGGGCTGTGAGTCTGTAAATTGATGGGTTATCTTTATGCGGTGGAGAAACGCTTCGTCTCTAGTACTGTGGAGTGAGATATTATCCTGCTCTCAGATGATGTCTCCGATGAGCTGCTCGACTTCTCCTGCTTCACTTCTCCTTTCGTTTGCCTTGATCTGACTTCCCCAGCCTTTCGTGAACTAAATCACTGAATGTTTCTTTTCCTCTCTGGTGCAGTGGCTCATATTTCAGGTTTAATGTCTGACAAGCGTGTTGAAACACATTACCGTATTTTCCTGAATGTAAGTTGCAGGGTTTTTAATCATCTGAAACCCAGAGCTGCTTCTGTTGCAATTCATGTCAAGCGTGCATTTATTTGTATAGTGCCTTTCACACATGCTGCTAGTTTCAGTTTCGCTTTAAATTAATTTGCTTAGGCTTGGCGTTTTTGACTCGGTGCAATTTATAGATTTATTTTCAGGATAATACGGTCGTTTATAATAAAGGTTAAAGGGATAGTTCAGCCAAAAATGAACATGCTGTCATCGTTTAATCACCTTTATTCAAACCCATTAGACTTTGGTTCATCTTTGAAACACAAATGATGATATTTAATGATGTTTTGATGAAAGTAGAGAGATGTCTGTCCTTCCATTGGAAAAACCATAAAGCTCATCAAATATGGTAAACAGAAGCTCAAATATGTTTGGATTAAACCACTCGATTCATGTGGATCACTTTTAGAATATGAACTTTTTGACGTGTCACAGTTTTTTGGTTAGCTGGATTTTGAGTGAGAAACAGAAATATCTCCGGTTTCATTATTATAAAGATCTCCGTTTGTGTTTTAAAGAATAGCCAGAGTCGGATGGGTTTGGGGTCTGTAGTTGTATATCTTGTGTTAGCTGTCAGTAATGCTGTGTGTGAATGAACGCTGTGTGGTGTTTCTCAGCGGCCTCCACGTGTCTGTTCTCCCTCACATGTGCTCTGATTCTGGGCTTCCTGGACAGAAGAGCAGAGAAGATCCTCCACAAGGAGCAAAGCAAAACCGGTGAGATGATCCAGAGCAGACGCTCGTGACGTTCTGGCTGCCATCTGTCCTGTCAAACACTGATTTAGAGAAGTGTGTGTGTGTCATGTAGGGGACGTCATCAAGCTGACAGACGTCAAGGACTTTCCCTTCTCTCTCTGGCTCATCTTCATCATCTGTGTGGCATATTACGTGGCCATCTTCCCATTCATTGGACTGGGCCAGTGAGTTTCTGTCCTGTTCATAACGAAAATCAAGTGTACAGAATTAAAAATAACAGAAGAGAGGATCATCTGAACATTCACATAATGGAGAGTGAATATGAAGGAGTGAGAGTGTGAGATGATGATGGATCATTTCTCCACACAGAGTTTTCTTCATCGAGAAGTTTGCCTTCACTACTGTCCAGGCCAGAGCCATCAACAGGTACTCACACACACAGACACACTCACACAGACATACTCTCACAGACACACACACACACACACACACATTCATACAAACACACTCACTCACACAAACACACACTCACTCACACAAACACACAGACACACTCACTCACACACACGCACGCAGACACTCACACACACGCACGCAGACACTCACACACACGCACGCACAGACACTCACTCACACGCACGCACGCACAGACACTCACTCACACACGCACGCACGCACAGACACTCACTCACACACGCACGCACGCACAGACACTCACTCACACACGCACGCACGCACAGACACTCACTCACACACGCACGCACGCACAGACACTCACTCACACACGCACGCACGCACAGACACTCACTCACACACGCACGCACGCACAGACACTCACTCACACACGCACGCACGCACAGACACTCACTCACACACGCACGCACGCACAGACACTCACTCACACACGCACGCACGCACAGACACTCACTCACACACGCACGCACGCACAGACACTCACTCACACACGCACGCACGCACAGACACTCACTCACACACGCACGCACGCACAGACACTCACTCACACACGCACGCACGCACAGACACTCACTCACACACGCACGCACGCACAGACACTCACTCACACACGCACGCACGCACAGACACTCACTCACACACGCACGCACGCACAGACACTCACTCACACACGCACGCACGCACAGACACTCACTCACACACGCACGCACGCACAGACACTCACTCACACACGCACGCACGCACAGACACTCACTCACACACGCACGCACGCACAGACACTCACTCACACACGCACGCACGCACAGACACTCACTCACACACGCACGCACGCACAGACACTCACTCACACACGCACGCACGCACAGACACTCACTCACACACGCACGCACGCACAGACACTCACTCACACACGCACGCACGCACAGACACTCACTCACACACGCACGCACGCACAGACACTCACTCACACACGCACGCACGCACAGACACTCACTCACACACGCACGCACGCACAGACACTCACTCACACACGCACGCACGCACAGACACTCACTCACACACGCACGCACGCACAGACACTCACTCACACACGCACGCACGCACAGACACTCACTCACACACGCACGCACGCACAGACACTCACTCACACACGCACGCACGCACAGACACTCACTCACACACGCACGCACGCACAGACACTCACTCACACACGCACGCACGCACAGACACTCACTCACACACGCACGCACGCACAGACACTCACTCACACACGCACGCACGCACAGACACTCACTCACACACGCACGCACGCACAGACACTCACTCACACACGCACGCACGCACAGACACTCACTCACACACGCACGCACGCACAGACACTCACTCACACACGCACGCACGCACAGACACTCACTCACACACGCACGCACGCACAGACACTCACTCACACACGCACGCACGCACAGACACTCACTCACACACGCACGCACGCACAGACACTCACTCACACACGCACGCACGCACAGACACTCACTCACACACGCACGCACGCACAGACACTCACTCACACACGCACGCACGCACAGACACTCACTCACACACGCACGCACGCACAGACACTCACTCACACACGCACGCACGCACAGACACTCACTCACACACGCACGCACGCACAGACACTCACTCACACACGCACGCACGCACAGACACTCACTCACACACGCACGCACGCACAGACACTCACTCACACACGCACGCACGCACAGACACTCACTCACACACGCACGCACGCACAGACACTCACTCACACACGCACGCACGCACAGACACTCACTCACACACGCACGCACGCACAGACACTCACTCACACACGCACGCACGCACAGACACTCACTCACACACGCACGCACGCACAGACACTCACTCACACACGCACGCACGCACAGACACTCACTCACACACGCACGCACGCACAGACACTCACTCACACACGCACGCACGCACAGACACTCACTCACACACGCACGCACGCACAGACACTCACTCACACACGCACGCACGCACAGACACTCACTCACACACGCACGCACGCACAGACACTCACTCACACACGCACGCACGCACAGACACTCACACACACGCACGCACAGACACTCACTCACACACACGCACGCACGCACAGACACTCACACACGCACGCACAGACACTCACACACGCACGCACTCACTCACACAAACACACAGACACACTCACTCACACACACGCACGCACAGACACTCACACACACGCACGCACAGACACTCACTCACACACAATGAGATTGTGCATGTAAACACTCAATTACACTACTGTTCAAAACTTCAGTAAATGTCAGTAAGGATTTTTTTTTTTATAATAT